GTGTGTGTGTGAGAGAGAGAGTGTGTGTGCGTGTGTGTGTGTGTGTGTTGACGTTACCGTGCTTCTGCCCACTTGATGTCCGCTGGTCTCGAGGTCGACGCTCTGCAGGAACTGTCTGATTCGCGTCTGAGTGGCGTGAAAGCCGGCGGGTAACAGCACACAGAAATGACGGGCAAAATCCTGAAGACACACAAGACCAGATCCGTTTCAATCTTTCTCGATTCTGTTTTTTCTCTCCATTTTCCAGATTCCATTTTTTATGCATTTAATTTTTTCCATTCCGTTTTAAAGGTTAAAATACATTTTAGTAATCAAAAATAAATAATTAAAATTTAAATTTAATTTAAAAAAAACTATTAAATCCGTTTCCCCCCTTTAAAAAATAATTTATTTACTTTTAAAAAGCATATTTTTGTATTTCATATATTTTTTAAAAATGTTTCGTTTAATCTATTTATATATTTTTAAAATGTAATTTTTTTATATTTCATACTTTTGTTACAAAATTATATATTTTTTAACTATTTACATATTTTAAAAAATGTACATTAAATGTAAATTATTGCATAAATTTCAAATGAATGTATTTTTTTTAATAATAAATGTATATTTTTTAAAATGTATTTTTTTTTATATGTCACACATTTTAAATGTTTATATTTTCATATGGCTGATATATTTTTTCCGACTGTCCCAGCGTCTCCTTTAGCTTGCGTGAGGAACAGGAGTCAGTGTGTGTGTGTGTGTGTGTGTGAGAGAGAGTGTGTGAGTGTGTGTGTGTGAGAGAGAGTGTGTGTGTGAGAGAGAGAGTGTGTGAGTGTGAGAGAGAGAGTGTGTGTGTGAGAGAGAGAGTGTGTGAGTGTGAGAGAGAGAGTGTGTGTGTGAGAGAGAGAGTGTGTGAGTGTGAGAGAGAGAGTGTGTGTGTGAGAGAGAGAGTGTGTGAGTGTGAGAGAGAGAGTGTGTGTGTGAGAGAGAGAGTGTGTGAGTGTGAGAGAGAGAGTGTGTGTGTGAGAGAGAGAGTGTGTGAGTGTGAGAGAGAGAGTGTGTGTGTGAGAGAGAGAGTGTGTGAGTGTGAGAGAGAGAGTGTGTGTGTGAGAGAGAGAGTGTGTGAGTGTGAGAGAGAGAGTGTGTGTGTGAGAGAGAGAGTGTGTGAGTGTGAGAGAGAGAGTGTGTGTGTGAGAGAGAGAGTGTGTGAGTGTGAGAGAGAGAGTGTGTGTGTGAGAGAGAGAGTGTGTGAGTGTGAGAGAGAGAGTGTGTGTGTGAGAGAGAGAGTGTGTGAGTGTGAGAGAGAGAGTGTGTGTGTGAGTGTGTGTGTGTGTGTGTGAGATGAGTTGTGTTGATGGAGTGCATGGTTTCCTCACGCTGAACTGCGCGCTGATGCTGGGAGGTTTCTTCTTCTTGTGCAGATGCAGCAGTGATTTGGTGATGCGGTCGTGGAGCGTCAGGCAGCTCAGATACTTCAGTGATTTCACATCCAGCAGGTGCTGCAGACACAAACACATCCAGCACACTTCAGCTGTTTCTCATCAGATACTCTCCACACATCACACCGAGCACGTCTCTTAAACTCTTCATATCCAGCGACCTGACTAATGAATCTGGTTTAGTGTGTTTGTGTACAGTAAATGCTTCTGTATAACATATGCATGCTTAAATTTAACACACAATTGCTTTTTCTCCACCATAAGGCCATGAAAACCATGTGATCATTGGGTAGCTGGAATTGATTATTGTTAAATGTTATTACTTTGTACATTTATAAATTTACATACATTTTAATAATTATTTTATATATTTAAAAAAGAATGTATCTATTTAAATTTATATATATATATATATATATATATAATTGTATTAATAATTATTATATACGTTTCAAAAGGATGTATATATTTTGAAATAATTAATGAATAATGTATTTTTCTATTAAATAATGTATACATTTTTAAAATGTAGGCTATATATTTTTTAAAATAATTATTGCATGCATTTAAAAATATATTTATAATAATGTATTTATAAAAATATATTTATAATATTTTCTTATAATAAATATATTTAAAATAATGTATATAATAAATTTTTATAAGTATATAATTTAAATAATTATTGTATACACACACACATTAAATGCATGTAACTATTCAATCATTGTAATATTATAATTAATGAATGCATTATAATATTTTTTATAAATTATATATTTTAAGAAATAATTTAGATTTTTATAGTTTATATATATATATATATATATACACACACATATATACACTCACAAAATAATAAAACACAGCATTGTTTAATAAATAATTGTTTAAAAAAGAAGAGTTTTTTATTGCAGTAAAATCCCAGTGACACGTCCTCTCGAGGATAATTGCTTTAATTGCTTTTAAATGCTATAGGAGTTTGTCGATGACATCTTTTTATAACACAGTTGAAGTAAGTAATCTGATTAATAACACATCTGCTTTAATGACAGATGTTTGGATTAAGTAAGTTTACATGTTTCCTCACCAAAAGGCCAAAGCGATCATGTGACTGAGCTTTGATTTAAAGATACAGAATTAAAATGCATGCGTGTCAGTGATGCAAGACGCGTAGAAGTGCTTTAAAATCGAGTGACGGTGGGAGGTTTACCTTCGGGAGGCTCGGCTTGGTCTTGTAGCTCTTGTTTCTCCTTCAGGAAGAGAGAGAGTTTGAGACAGAAAGAGTGAGAGTCAGAATCAGAGCGAGTCTCGGCTGAAGTGTGCGGCTGTGTTCAGACTCACATCAGGATGCCCTGCGCTCGCTCCAGAAGCTTATTATTCAGCGAGTTCACGAAGATGCCCTCGTCTTCCTCGCAGCTCCTGAGACACAGCACAGACCATAACACACCACACCACTGCCACTCATCACGCTTTAACTGGCTGAACTTCTTTCATTGGATTACTTAAAGCATAAAAAATATATTTATTTAAATAAAATAAATATAAAAATAGCAAATGAAATACTAAAGATGGAATATTTTATTTGTATACGTGCTATAATACAAAAAAAAATATTTTTATACAGTTAAAAAATTACATTTTGATATAATTAATTTAAAATGTATACGTTTAACTAATTATTTTTAATAATGAATCATTTTAATAAATAAACTTTTAATTTTGATAAATGTAAAAATAGTTTTATTATTGCATATTGAATTATTATATTTTTTTGTTTACCTGCTATAATATAACAAAGTATCTCATACATTTAAAAATGCATATTTTTAAAATAATTTAATAAATAAATACATAATATAAAAATAAAAATAAATATTTTTAGAAAAACGAATTAGAAAAATGTATTTTATTTTTGATCATTTTTAATAATTAAGGTTTTTTTAATAGTTATTTAAAATTTACATTTGTAATAAGATTTTTTTTATAAATAAACATTTATTGAATTTATTAAAATTATTATTAATTACTGAACACTGATGTATTTTTTCACGCAGCCACTTTATAAATCAATAAACCAATTACAGTTGTGCATTACAGAGACTTTACCAAGTTTTGTTCTTAACTTGTGGTCGAATCTACAATTTTATCTACAAAACAATCAAAATTGTGGTGTTGTATTTGTTTACCTGCCATAATGAAATTAATTTGTAAAATCATTAATAAAATGATGTTGTACATTTAAAAATGCATCGTTTTTTAAATTATTAATTTAGTTATTAAAATGCATCATTTAAACAAAATTTATAAATTATTTCATTTCTAATAAAAAGAAAAATATCATTTTAAAAACTTAATATTTATTGTAATTAAATTATTAATTTCTTTATTATTAATCATAAACATTTATGTATTTTTACATGCTGCCTTTTTATAAAATCAACACAATTGTGCATTAAGGTGACTTTAGCCTATTTTGTGTGGTGAAGTCTGGTGTTTTCTTCGTTTCGCTGCATGTCATGTGACGGATGTGTCGTTAAATCATCGTGATACGCACTGAAAGTCTCCGGGGAGCTTGAGACGGATGTTTGAGGGGGTTTCTTCTGTACCTGCTTGTTTTCTGGCTGAGCGTGTTCGATCCCTGCAGGTCTGATAGAGGAGTCCTGCGGCTGATGCACCAATCTGACGTTCAGACAGACAGAGAGAGAAAGAGTTCACATGAAGCAGTCACAGACGAGGAGGAAGAGCAAACCTCCAGCAGCTGTAACGTGAGACGAAATCAAAGCCTGTTCACACAAACATCCTGAGAAATCAACAATAAGAACAAGAACCTCATAATTCACAACATTAAAGGTGACGTATCATGAAAATCTGACTTCTCCAGGTTGTAAGTGCTATAATCAGGTCTCCGGTGCATCTACCAACCAAGCAAACATGAAAAAGATG